CCCCACCCTCCTTGGTCTTTCCTTTGCTCACATTTGTGAGCTGGTGCCATACTCTGCCCTTGGGAATCATCTCACCAAACCTTTGGCTTCTCTGAGTTGCCTTAGTCAACCATTCACTTACAGTATCTATGTCCATTTACTTCCATCCCAATGAAGGACCTAGTCTTGAACAGACCTGTGTCTTTCATATTACAGAAAGTGCCATATCCTAAAAAGTGAGTTATAACTTGCAGGAGAAAAAAGGTTAACATTGGGTAGTTGATTAATACTTACTTGTCTGCCTGTAACTTGTGCAACCTCATTTTCTTTAAAGATCACAATTTAATTATTTGTATGTGCGTGTATGGGGGGGGTGGTATATGCACACGAGTGCAGGTACCCAAGAAAGCTGGAGGCACTGGATCTCCCTGGGGCTGGAACTATAGACAACTAAAATCTGCCTGATGTTGGTACTGGGAACTGAACTCACATCCTCTATAAGAGTAGCCCACGATCTTAACCACTGAGCCATCTCTCCAGCCCAATTTAATTCTTTTTTAATTTTATTTTATTTTGCAGTGATGTGATCAAACCCAGGGCCTTGCACATCCTAGGAAAGCATTCTGCCACCAGGCCACATCCCCAGCCCTTTTAGTTGCAATTTAAATAAACAGCACAGTATAATCAATTGCCCCCAACTATACTTAATGTTTATGCCATAAATGCAGCAACTATAGGTCAACATTTGTCATGTCTGCATACTGCTGAAAATAGTAACATGAGTATTGGCAGTAAAAACTTAAGAGAACTGACTATATGACCTCCACTTTGGCCAGCAAGTTTTGGATTTTTTCTTTTTTCCTTTTAATAGTTCTTCAAGAAGTCTGGCTAAAATCCCATACCAGATAAAACATCCAGCCAGATGGAATCAGACTCCACACTTCTCAAGGGCCAGAAATCTAGCCCAATATTCTCTGTTCTTACCAAGAATTAAAGAGCTGTTTGTTGCAGCAGTCTCCAGACACATCTAAGATTGGACTGTTCCAGAAGATTTTGTAACTCTCTATTGAGAAAAACTCTTAAAGTTGGCCAGACTTGGCTGTGGTTCCTGATAGCCCCTGAATCTTTCAGGGCCCTCTTCAGCTGCTTAGTACAAATCCCTAATTCCTACCAGTGTGGGTCCAACCCATGGAGTAATTTTTGTTGTTGCATAGGTCAACTAGAACTGCAATGGTTGGCAAAATCTAAGCCTCTGACTGTCATACTAAATAATTCTATATCTTTTCATTTAGTCACTGTTTAGTTACAGAGGAAATTAGATTTGAATGGTTCCTAGCGAGGCTTGGTGATGCATGTCTTTAATCCCAGTACTTAGGAGGCAGAGGTAGGTGGATCTCTCTGAGTTTAAGGCCAGCCTGGTCTACGTAGAGAGTTCCAGGACAGCCAGGACTTAACTACATAGAGAAATCCTACCTTAAAAAAAAAAAAAGATAGTTCTTAAGGAAAATGCAAGAACACATATGGTCAATAAAAGCAAACTGCCCCCAATCCTAAACCCAACCCAACTGATTATTTGAACTCAGAGAATTTCAGACTATCCCAAACCAGTAATTTCTTCATATAAAGATCTGAGACATGATCTACTGACTACACTTTAAAGCTACAACTACTAACCCTCACACCTCTAGGGCAGGCACAATCACGTCAAAACTTACTGTTTACGTGTGTGTGTCACACGTGTGCAGGCAGCCAGGAGGCCAGAAGCAGCACTGGATCCCCAGGAAGTGGAAGCCCCCCAACATGGGTGCTCCCTCCAGTAGAGCAGCAAGTGCTCTTAACTGCAGCTCCAACTTTAAAAATGTGTGTGTGTGTGTGTGTGTGTGTGTGTGTGTGTTGCCTACATGTATGCATATGAACCATGTGTGCCTGGTGCCTGCAAAAGTCACAAGAGGGTGTTGGATTCCCTAGAACAGGAGTTAAGGATGGCTCTGAGCCACTGTGTGGGTGTTGGGAATAGAAACCAGGTCCTCTGCAAGAGGACTTTTTTTACTTTTTTCCCCCTGAGACAGGGCTTCTCTGTGTAGCTTTGTAGACCAGGCTGTTGTGAACTCACAGAGATCCATCTGCCTCTGCTTCCCGACTGCTGGGATTAAAGGTGTTCGCCACCACCTCCCGGCTTCAACAAGTACTCTTAATGGCTGAGCCATCTTTCCAGCCCCTCAACTTTTTCTAAAAAAGATGTATTATTGTTTTTATTAGTGCATGTATGTCTATGTGAGTGAATGCCACATGTGTGCAGGTCCCCTAAGGTGCCAGAAGAGGGTGTCAGATCCTTTGCAGCTGGAGTACAGGCAGTTGCAAGCCACCAGACATAGGTGCTGGGGACTGAGCTCACAACGACAAGCACTCTTAACTACTTTACCCCTTCTCCCTTCTCACAGAAGGTCAAACGAACTAGATCTTCACTTACTATTAGCTCAAGGTCACAAAGCTGTTTATCACAGTGAGGACCAAGCCACACACCTGACAGACCCCTAAGTTTCCCACAATACCAAGCTCCTCTAAATGTCTGTCTACAAGTCTCAGAAGAGAACACCCTCAGCTACAGGCTTTAAGTTCCTGTTTTATTTCCTTAAGGTGACATACACAGGGAAAACCAGAATACTTATGGAACTACCTTTTACAAGTATTTCACATTCTAAAAAGAACTCTTAAGCTGGATGTGGTGGTACATACCTGTTTGTAATCCTAGCACCTGGGCTGTGGAGGCAGGAAGACCAGGAGTTTGAGGTCATCCTCAGCTACACAGTGAGTTAGGGCCAGCCTGGGCTACAAGAGACTGTCTCAAACAAACAAACAAACAAAAACTTTAGTGATTACTATCTAATCTTCATTACGTCAAGAAATAGTTATTAGGGCTGGAGAGGTGACCCAATGGTTAAGAACTCATACTACTTTTTTGCAGAGGACCTGGGTTCAGTTCCCAGCACCCATATCAGGTGGCTCATAATTGCTTGTAACTCTGGTTTAATTTTTTAAATTGGTCTTAAAAACAAATTACTGCCAGGTGGTGTTGTTGGACATCTTTGATCCCAGCACTTGGGAGGCAGAGGCAGGTGGATCTCTGTGAGTTTGAGATCAGCCTAGTCTACAGAGCTAGTTCCAGCACAGCCAGAGCTGTTTTACCGAGAGACCCTGTCTCAGAAAAACCAACTAACCAACCAACCAACCAAACAAACAAACAAAAAACCCCAAACCCAAATTACTATTGGCTTACCTACCTCTAATGGATATTATATAGACGCTAGACATAAGATGAGTTTCCAGAACATTCAAGATATTTACGATGTAAGAGACCTGGTTCCTTCTTTGTAAAGAAACTAAAGGCCAGAGTGACTTAAATGCCTTTGGCTGACTTGGCTTACAGAAGGCAGAAATTGTCTCAGCCTCTCTGCCTCCACAGGCCTCCTACCCAGGCTTTCCATTAGTCCTCTGCTTATGAGACGCAGATGGTGGAATCCATGCAAAGTCATCTGGAGGAAACAGCAGAGTTAATGATAGACAAAGAACTAATGAACTCATCTTTCTTGTGACTTTACTTAAGGCTTCTGTTTTTAGTTGAAAGACTTAGGAGAGATTTCAAATGTTCTCAAAGAAAGATCAGGACAAGTCGGGCTAAGGAAGAATTCCTAATATTTTCTTTCATCATTAGGGTAGTAGACAGTCTACTTCAACAGACTACAATTCTGTGACTAGGTTCCCATCCTCAGACATGCCCTTCTATTGAAACTGTTGGCAAGCTAGCTTCCCTCCTTCTTCTTTTTTTCTTTCTTTCCTTTCTTTCTTCCATCCATTCAATCAATGACAATCAAGACTGAGGAAGGGGACATCAAACAAATGCACGATTTTGCCCCTAATGAGCCCTCTGGTGGGAGACAGGAACATATTATCATGAAGGAATGATTAGTTCCCTTTTGTGACTCATGGGGACAACTTCCTGAAGGACGAAATCTGAGTTTTCAAAGTGTGTATGGGGATAGGCACTGAGTGACTAGGGGTGACACAGAGAATAGCATGTGCAACACTACCTGGTTGGACTTCAGTAAAATCAAATAATGTGCCTGCTCAGTATGAATTCTTAGGAACCAAGTTTCCTACTTCCCAAGAGAACTCTCATCTTATGGAATTTTATTCCAGTCCAGCCTTCATCCCTAATATGCCATTGAACCAATTTTGTTTTGGCCACCAATGATTTCCATGTAGCCAAATTCTGTCAGATATCAAACTACAGATATCAAACGACCTCACTGACCCTTCCCAATTTTGTCTGTGCTCTCTTCTGGAGTTTCCCATCTAGCTCTCTCCGACTACCTGACCTCTGGTTTACTCAAGGCTATTCCCCAACTCCAAGTAATACCACCCATTCCTGCAACTTTTAATTCAATCCTTTTGTGCACAAGAACCAAATGTATGTCTCCAAATAGCTCATCTCTGACTCTTCTTGTCAACTCAACAGCTTTCCTAATATTTCTACCTGGGTATTTCTTGGGCATCCCAGAGTTAAGTTCAAAATATAAATGTTTCAAACCCTCCTGTTTCAGGTTTTGCTGTGGTAGAGCTAGGGCCCACCCTGTGTTATCAGCAGTCAGTCTCACCTCTGTATCCAATTGCCAGGTTCTGCCAGCTAGCTAGCTTTACCTCTACCAACTTTTCTACATTTGTCTCCACTGACAGTGTCTTTGTAGAGAAGAACACCACCCTCTAGCACTTAGATAGCCACTTTGCTCAGTCCATTGTCCCACAGCTGTGAAGGTGGAAGCTGGAACCATGACAGTGCCCTGCTTTCAGTACTTGTTCTGGGGGCCATCAGATACCCTAACTCCATCCTCTCCTGATACATGTGGCGTTTTGAAGTTTTGTGTGACACGTGACTTTCTTGTTTTCTGTTCTAATGAGACTAAATTTATTCAATATCCTAGTAAAAGTTTTGATTGCAAGTATCCAACAGTTTAAAAGTACAAAACAGATCCGAATACGTCACAAATTTGTATGTTATCCTTGCACAGGGGCCATGCTAATTATCTCTAGATCATTCCAAGTCATATTTGTGCACCAAAGCAAGCACACATGACTTTCTTTGAACAAAGACATGTGACCACAAGCTTTAAGAACACTACCTTTTTCTCTTCCTATGTCATGATGGCAAGGTGGACAGCAGCAGAGTGACAAGCCCTGTCTTCAGCTCCCAGCAGCTGCACTGAGAATGACACACCTTACGAATGCATTACCAAATGAACCAGGCCTACTGTAAGAGACTCCTGGTCCCTTGTTGCTCTCATCTTGGGCCTGTCCTTCCACTCACTTTGGTCTACTCAGTGACCCCTTGCAAGTTTTAGAGCAAGCCACCTTTTAACTCAACATTCTTTAGTGTTTTCCTTCCTAACCTTCCGTTCTCAGCTTAAAAATTATTTCTCACAGATACCTGCAGCCCTCTATCATGGCACCCTGATTGCTTGCTGTAGGAGAAACTGCTGACCAGCCTACCCAAGCCACAGGTACCCAGGCCAACCTGCATGAGCATGCATGGCAAGCACTTCCTCCCTGAGCCAAGCCTGCCAAAACACCCAGGGACTGCTGATGAGGAGACACCTGACTGGAAGACACCAATGAGGAAAAGACAACGAAGCAGAGTCAGCCGCTTGAGCCAATAGGACCTTGGGAGGGGGTATAAAGGCAGGTCTAACTTCCTTAATAAACCAATCTGCAACAGGCTCTGCTACTCACTGACTCCCAGTGCCTTAGTCGTTGGCGCTGTGTCTTCTCCCTCCCTCCCCCAAGGGGTGTCCGAAATGGGTAGCCCACAAGAGCTTGCCACACAGCACTTCACAGTCTATAATAATTATCCATCTCTTTGATTGTCCCCCTGACTGGACTGAAAACAACACAGAGGAAGAGCTCACCAGCATCTCTGGAGATTGAACTGTACCGTTTATTTGTAGTGCCTCCTATTTTTATAAGATCATCCTAAAGCCTATTTCTAGAATCTCTTGTTATCTAGGGCCAGAGGGGACAGAAGGGAGCAACAAGTGCAAACTACAGAGAAATCCGGCATTTTACTTCTTGGTATTCTCAGAGTTAAGAAGCCACTCGGATTAGGAGGTGGGTCTATTCCTTGAATCCATCTGTGGGACTTGAGGCCAATTGATATGGTTTAATTTATCCGCAGGTTCTATCAGCAAATGCCCTGTTGGTCACAGAACACAGAAAGCTAATGGTCTCAGGGACCTGAGCAAGTCCTGGCCACACAAACAAGGACCATACTTAGGGTGAATCAAACACCCTGACTTTTTACCTCTGACCTCTTTTGGGTAAAGGTCAACAAAAGCTGGGCCTACAGCTGGGCATGGTGTCACACACCTGTGATCCCAACACTTAGGAGGCCGAGACAGAAGGATTACCACAAGTTCCGGGCCAACGTGGGCTATGTGGAGAGTTTAGGCCAGCCAAAATTACTAAGACTTTGTCTCAAACCCCTCCCCCAAAAGCAACCAATCAATCCAGGTTAGACACTAAACTCCATGTGAGAAGACTAGCCTGGCCTGGCAGGAGACTGCTGGCTTAAATCTCCCTACTAACAAGGGACAGGGTCCAGGCAAGCAATTATTACTTGCTTAAGAGAGGCAGAGTCTTGGTCAAGTGTTCTTCCCACGCATACCATCTCTTTAGTCAAGAACTAGCAACCGTGAAAGCACAGTAGCTCACGTTCAGATAACATCCAGGTTCTTTGCTCCATAGACTAGAGAACACCGAGCAAAAGGAACACACACAATACAAATGAAGGACATAGGAAGAACTATTTTAATTTTCTTTTTAAATCTTCCAAAAGCATTATTTTTTATCCAAACCTAAGTTATAACAAAGAGCATCAGAATCAGAAAAACTAGAAGGAAGGATACAGCAGACAATCAAATGTATGAAAAAGAGAAATTGTGAGACTCAATTTATGAACTTATTAATATGAAGTTATAATTTGAAACTTGTGCCTCTGGGAGAAACTTTATTTAATTAATTTTAGCAATGGCATCCAATGGCTCTAATACCCTGATTTTTTTTAAGGATGCCAATTCAAAAATACTTTAAAAACAGCTCTGTTCAGTTGTAAATTCCCTCCTAAGCTCAGACCATAATTCTTGTATTTTAATTGGGAAGAAAAGAACTGTTTCAGATGGCATGAAATGCACATTTTCAAAGTTTTTTTCTTTTTTTTTTAAACTTAGTACAGAATTTTAAGAACTATTAGTAAGAACTTGATGCAGGTAATTAAAAGTGCGAGACACTAACTCCTGGTCAACTATGGAAGTCTGTTTCTTCTCCCATCCCCCCAAGGGGAACTCTCATTCCAAGTTTTCCACACATTGATCCTTAAATATACTTCTAAGCAAAACAAGAGCTTTGTTTACAGTCATTAGATTTTATTGTTCTGAATTTTATTCTGAAACTGAAATTTACCTCAAACCCTCACTGCCATAGTAGCCTTGTCATGCACAGTTGTATGCAAGTCTTCAAAGCAGCAGCCGTAGGCTGGGAGGCCCTATCCACCCCCAGCTCGGGAAAAACACCATTGGCCACACCCACTTAGCAACAAATCTACCTCATGCTAATCGGGAAATGTCGGACTAAGTCCTGACAATGAGACGTGGATATCTACATATCTATCCATCTCATCCTGATGTGCTGAGGTTTCCAAATGGAGATCTTCATAGCTTAGCTTTGCCAGGCTGAAGCTGGAGGCTTTGCAGCTTCATCGCCAGACCCATGTTACCAGCAATTTTCAATTTACCTTGAAAGAAGGCCTGTGAGTAATAAAAAATAAAATTCATTAGTTGGTGGGGTTTGTTCAGCATTTGCTAGTGTTTCTAGACTATTCAGGCATGAGATCATCTATCTGGGTCCTTAGCTTTCTGCAAAATACAAACTTTAGCTTTCTGGAACAGATTTAGAACAAGATCCCTTGACAGGAAGAATTCCCAACAGCTATGCTTTATGTAAGGGAAGGAGGGAGCAGAATCCCCAAATTCCCTTCTCTTAAAAGTTGGGGCTCTATCTCAAATGTAGTATACCTTGTTCAAATGCCAGACAAAACAGATCAACACTAGACAAATTTCCTTTAAAACATCATATATGGGCTTAAAATACAAAATTATAACAGGTTGTGGGGAGAGAAAATAAACTCAAAACCCATTTAGAAAGTCCTGGGATTCAGTGGATGATTGAAACTTCATCATTGGCTCTGCTCTGGTCCCTGAAGGGCTGGTCCCTGCAGAGGACACCCCCTACCCCCACTCCCCCTTCCACCCTCGTGTTCATGAGGTATTCCTGTTCCTCTGGCTCAGTGAGAAGCTTCAGCCACTCAGAAGGGCAGAGCCACAAACTGTTCCATTTAACAAGGCTGGGGATTAGATCACATGACATTTGCTAAATTTACTGTGTAACAAAATCCCAGGGAGACTCAGAAGTAGCAAAAGGAGAACTATAGCATAATTCCTGCTATGACTTTAGTGTTTTAACTCAGTCTGTAATAAGAAAGTACTGGCTGAGAAAGGTTTCTGGGAGTCTCAGAAGCACACAGCATGGCTGGGTTTTTCCACACCCAGGTAGGGCTCACTAACACTCCCTTTCCCCCAGTATGGACAAACTAAATATTTCCTTTTTATATGCAGAATGCCTTCTGTCTGATGACTGAGAGGTCAAGGTGTCTCGGAACACAATATATTTAACATATGTTATTTAAAAATACAAACCAGCTGTACTACAGAAATGCACCACCTTCTCCTTTTAAAGCCTCGGTAAAAAATAATGGAGAAAGCATTAGTGTCATCCACTGAGAATCCAAGCCTGAGGACTGTGTTAATCTGGCCCCTAGGTACTCTTTGTCTGTGCTTTTCTGCTGGCTAGATCACTGCTTTGCTTCAACCGCAGCCAAACACTGAAAGTAGAATTTCCACTGCATTTAATGGTTCCCAGTCAAATCCTCTATTGAGCATAAGGAAAGGCCATCAGCACATTAACAGACAGGGCTGCTGCTTTAATCTGCAGTTCCTCTGGGTGTTAACAGGTGCTGAAGGAAAACACGCTGATGCCATGTCCCCCAAAACGCTTGCACACAGATAAACTATAGGAGAGCAAGGACAGTGGATGTGTGAAGGGTGAACCTCTGCCATAGCCCAGCACAGTGTGAAGGGCGAACCTTTGCCAGAGCTGTGTGGTGTGCACAGAATGGGCATAGCAACTGGAAGAGTATGACAGCCAGCTCCTGTGCTGGTGGCCTCTGTCCCATCCAGGTTTCTGGAGTGGACTGTGGGCAGTGATGTCAGCGCCAGGGTGACGGCTACATTGAAGTATCACAGATGCACACTGTTCAGTCATGGCATTACTGAGACATACTCAGAAACCCATTTCAGAAGGAAGAGGTGCAGGAGTCAGATTTAGTTTTGTTCAGTCATGAATTACCTGGGAATACCACAAAGAAGATCCAACACAGCTAAGATAACAACAAAACTGAAGAAGAGTAGAGGGAAAGGCCTTGGGTTTCTTTTCTGCTAATGGAAGGCTTGATGTATAGAGTCCTCTCAACTCTGTTGATAAAGAAGGGCTCCTTGGCAACTTGGGGACCAGGAAGGACCATATGAGGCAGGTGTACATTTCAGATAAATACACTTTTTAATCTAAAAACTGTTTATAGCAACCTAAAACCATCGGGCACTGTACTGATGTAGAACCACCAAGAACATAAGATGTCTGTCTTCTGCGGCATTTGGGATCTAATGGGGATGAGACAGACTCAGGACAAGTGCAAGCTCAGCCAGAGGGACTGTACTCAAAAATTCAGTCAGTCCTTGAGGAACTGATTTGAAAAGTCAAGTCTGTCAAGGAAGGATTAAGGCACAGAGAAGAGCTTGGGCATCAAGATGAACACAGAAGGTCCTTTTGTGTCTACCACCATCTCTTCCTCCCTCCAAGTGTTCCTAGATTTCTTCTGAACCACTAACCCTGTATGCTAAGCCTTTCCTGAGGCCATCTCTTTCTCCACGTGGGCTAACCACAAGCCAAGAATGGCACCTTGGA